GGACGTCTCAGGTATTCACCATTTCAGTCCCATGGTCCTCGCACAGCAGTTGACAGTCCCTCGGAGAAGATAAGTCAATCTTACGAGATTTTTACTGCTTATTTCATAACAGTACTATATAGCTAATAACTCCATGAAGTTTATGCTATTGTATATATGTTAGCTTAAGTTTAATCACTATCTTAAGCTCAGTACTATGTTGATTATATCACAATAATATCATTAGCTAACAACTCTATGAAGTTTATGCTATTATATTATCAAGCTTAAGTCTATCTTAGTCTTAAGCATAGTATTCATGTTGTAAATACGTTATTTATGTTTATCATAATATCTATATATTGTAGTAACCCATATATGGCAGCTGATAAGTTTAACAGCAGGAATTTATCAATTCAGTGCCTTTATGAAGTTCCCATAGGGGTTATTACAGTTATTACAGTTATCAAATCACTAATTATCTAAATCCAAAGTATTCTGTATTCCCACCTCCGTATCCGTAGGATTCTGCAAGCAAAAAGCATGAGTCAGGATAAGGAAAAATATGTAATTTTCTGAATAAAATTGATATTTTATACTTATCCTGACTCATGAGGTAAGCCCTCCCATCCTCCCCACATAACACTTTGGATTTCCCTGAAAATTCAAGTGTTGGGCTCGCTATATAAGGAGAGAGTGAGGCATGTGGCGGGAGGTGGCGCCCTCGTTCCCGCCAAAAGAGAGGGATAGAGACAACTCTTGGTGAGTACCAATTAGTGATTTTACATTGAAGGGAGCTTCAATTGGGAGATACAAGTGTTCCACTGTGTTCGCAAGAAGAAGAAGACAAGCAAAAAGCATGAGTCAGGATAAGTATAAAATATCAATTTTATTCAGAAAATTACATTATTTGGTGTTCTTAAAATATTAAGTAAGCAAAGTAATATATCTCATGAATTATACTGGGGATTCTATCAGAATGATTATATTGAATCTGTCGTTTTTATCTGAATTTGTGGGTCGGCTTAAATGTATTTGTGAACAGAATTGGTGTAGTTCACTTCAAAATGGCAGCAAATCTATTCTTACTTCAAAATATCATTGTCCAGGGAATTGTATTTACATGTAATTAACTTTAAAAATTTAGAGTAGCATTCGCTCAGTTTAGATGTTTTTCACATCAGTTACATATTGAAACTGGAAGATATCATTATATAGATAGAAATGATAGATTATGTTTACAGTGCAATGAAGGTTATATTGAGGATGAATACCATTTTCTTGTCGTGTGTTCCAAATTCAAACAGCTCCGCTTGAAGTTGAACCATTTGCCTAAAACCTATTGTATCAATACATGTAAAGCTAAATTCAAACTCCTCATGTCAACGACAGATTGTAAACTTATTAATAATGTAGCTAGCTTTATTTATCATGCAATGCATCTAAGATGCATAAAATTATGAATTTATATCATGTTTTGCTGTGTACAAACTACAATGTAACCTAATTGTAGTTATGGGCCAATGACCTACACTTCTATAATAAAAGAATTGAATTTTTAAAAATAATGTTCACATTTTCTGTGAAAATATGTCAGAATAATATTGTATGTTCATATATTTGTCATGATAATGATGTTGGCAAATTTTAAGAAATACAATATATCAGATAATATCTGAAAAAGTCAAAACAGCTCTATATTCACTCAATATTTTTTCATGACTGGAATAGATTTCATGACCACTTCATTCCCAGTTTAATGTTATTCTTATTTCAGGATCGAACAAACACCATAAAAAACAACCGCAGCAAAATATTTATTGTTTAACATGGGGATTCCTGTTGAGCGTAGAACGGTGTTTTTAGAAAATATGAATGTTCATAAACTTGGCCTGATAGGTAAGCTATCTAAGGGGTTGCTATGCATTAATTGGCGAAAGTCTGACTGACAGACAAGCTACAGATGACCATGTAGATGACCTCCAATACCTATGTGGGTATGTACTACCTACAGATGACCATGTAGATCACCACCAACACCTATATGGGTATGTACTACCTACAGATGACCATGTAGATGACCACCAATACCTATATGGGTATGTACTACCAACAGATGACCATGTAGATGACCACCAATACCTATGTGGGTATGTACTACCTACAGATGACCATGTAGATGACCACCAATACCTATGTGGGTATGTACTACCTACAGATGACCATGTAGATCACCACCAATACCTATATGGGTATGTACTACCTACATGTAGATGACCACCAATACCTATATGGGTATGTACTACCTACATATGACCATGTAGATCACCACCAATACCTATATGGGTATGTACTACCTACATGTAGATCACCACCAATACCTATATGGGTATGTACTATCTACAGATGACCATGTAGATCACCACCAATACCTATGTGGGTATGTACTACCTACAGATGACCATGTAGATGACCACCAATACCTATATCGGTATGTACTACCTACAGATGACCATGTAGATCACCACCAATACCTATATGGGTATGTACTACCTACCTGTAGATCACCACCAATACCTATATTGGTATGTACTACCTACAGATGACCATGTAGATCACCACCAATACCTATAGGTATGTACTACCTACATGTAGATCACCACCAATACCAATATGGGTATGTACTACCTATAGATGACCATGTAGATCACCACCAATACCTATATGGGTATGTACTACCTACAGATGACCATGTAGATGACCACCAATACCTATATCGGTATGTACTACCTACAGATGACCATGTAGATCACCACCAATACCTATATGGGTATGTACTACCTACAGATGACCATGTAGATGACCACCAATACCTATATCGGTATGTACTACCTACAGATGACCATGTAGATCACCACCAATACCTATATGGGTATGTACTACCTACCTGTAGATCACCACCAATACCTATATGGATATGTACTACCTACAGATGACCATGTAGATCACCACCAATACCTATAGGTATGTACTACCTACATGTAGATCACCACCAATACCTATATGGGTATGTACTACCTACAGATGACCATGTAGATCACCACCAATACCTATATGGGTATGTACTACCTACATGTAGATGGCCACCAATACCTATATGAGTATGTACTACCTACAGATGACCATGTAGATGACCACCAATACCTATATGGGTATGTACTAGCTACAGATGACCATGTAGATGACCACCAATACCTATATGGGTATGTACTACCAACAGATGACATGTAGATCACCACCAATACCTATATGGGTATGTAATACCTACATGTAGATCACCACCAATACCTATATGGGTATGTACTACCTATAGATGACCATGTAGATCACCACCAATACATATATGGGTATGTACTACCTACATGTAGATCACCACCAATACCTATATGGGTATGTACTACCTACAGATGACCATGTAGATCACCACCAATACCTATATGGGTATGTACTACCTACATGTAGATGACCACCAATACCTATATGGGTATGTACTACCTACAGATGACCATGTAGATCACCACCAATACCTATATGGGTATGTACTACCTACATGTAGATCACCACCAATACCAATATGGGTATGTACTACCTACAGATGACCATGTAGATCACCACCAATACCTATATGGGTATGTGTACTACCTACATGTAGATCACCACCAATACCTATATGGGTATGTACTACCTACAGATACATGTAGATGACCACCAATACCTATATGGGTATGTACTACCTACAGATGACCATGTAGATGACCACCAATACCTATATGGGTATGTACTACCATGACCATGTATGATCACCATGGGTATGAATCACCACCAATACCTATATGGGTATGTACTACCTACAGATGACCATGTAGATCACCACCAATACCTATATGGGTATGTACCATGTAGATCACCACCAATACCTATATGGGTATGTACTACCTACACATGTAGATCACCACCAATACCTATATGGGTATGTACTACCTACATGTAGATCACCACCAATACCTATGTGGGTATGTACTACCTACAGATGACCACCAGATCATACCTATATGGGTGTGTACTGCCTACATGTAGATGACCACCACATGTGTGTATGACAGATGACCACCAATACCTATATGGGTATGTACTACCTACATGTAGATCACCAGATGACCATGTAGATGATCCAATACCTATATGGGTATGTACACTACACAGATGACCATGCAGATCACCACCAATACCTATATGGGTATGTACTACCTACAGATGACCATGTAGATCACCACCAATACCTATATGGGTATGTACTACCTACAGATGACCATGTAGATCACCACCAATACCTATATGGGTATGTACTACCTACCTGTAGATCACCACCAATACCTATATGGGTATGTACTACCTACATATGACCATGTAGATGACCACCAATACCTATGTGGATATGTACTACCTACAGATGACCATGTAGATGACCACCAATACCTATATGGGTATGTACTACCTACATGTAGATCACCACCAATACCTATATGGGTATGTACTACCTACAGATGACCATGTAGATCACCACCAATACCTATATGGGTATGTACTACCTACATGTAGATCACCACCAATACCTATATGGGTATGTACTACCTACAGATGACCATGTAGATCACCACCAATACCTATATGGGTATGTACTACCTACATGTAGATCACCACCAATACCAATATGGGTATGTACTACCTACAGATGACCATGTAGATCACCACCAATACCTATATGGGTATGTACTACCTACATGTAGATCACCACCAATACCTATATGGGTATGTACTACCTACATGTAGATCACCACCAATACCTATATGGGTATGTACTACCTACATGTAGATGACCACCAATACCTATATGGGTATGTACTACCTACAGATGACCATGCAGATCACCACCAATACCTATATGGGTATGTACTCAGTGTTCACGAAATAGTTTGTAGTCCTGCAGGACATGGGTCCTGTGACTCTCAGAAATCTGTCTGACCCACTGAAAATTCACAGGACCCAAATTAAATACACAACAACAATATCTGAGCGCAGTAAATGGTAAATATTAGCAACAAAATTAAAAGATAACCACCCTCCATAACAATACACTTTAGTGCACATTAAATTTACAATGTACTGTTTCATTTATCAAATGGCAATCTCAATAATAGTTCATGATTTTAGCAAATGTCTGTTCTTCATCCACGAAATCCGAACAGTAATCGCTGTCTTCATCGGGATCGATGGCTTTGTTGAAGACAGCGATCTCCTCTTCAATGTCTGACTCTTCTTCCTCCTCCTGCTCCTCAGCATCTCAATAATAGTTCATGATTTTAGCAAATGTCTGTTCTTCATCCACGAAATCCGAACAGTAATCGCTGTCTTCATCGGGATCGATGGCTTTGTTGAAGACAGCGATCTCCTCTTCAATGTCTGACTCTTCTTCCTCCTCCTGCTCCTCAGCATCTTCCACATCTTTCTCCTCCACTACACAGATGACTTCAGATGTCTTGACAGCTGATTGGTTGTGCTTGCCTCTGTTGTAGTTAAGAGACCTAGCCCGTGTAGGTGTTACCTGAATTTAGATAAGCATTCAGTCAACCCAAACACGAACTCAAATACAGTACCAGACAAAAATGTTGACAAATTGAACAAGATATACGTACCAACCACCTGTCAATGGCCTTCTCAGGATCAAAGTCTGTAATTGAGGGGGCTTGTAGCTTCACAGTCATCAGAGTGTTGAGTGTCGATGATCTCATCCTACATCTCCTGCTGGTCTTGATCAGCTTCATCTGCGAGAAGGAAGTCTCACATGAAACTGATGGAAGCAGCAGGTCCATCAAGACCAGGAGTTCAGGAAACTGCTCTGCATGCTGTCGGTGAATATCAGCCCACTTCTGATGTGGGAGGTTTGATCCAAATCTAAAACAAATGTAATGGAATAAGACGACCACAATCTTAGCAATTAAAGTCACTTTCAAACGAGCCTTATTATGTTGTACTTCATTCTATATGTCTTTATCAGTATTTTAAGGTATCAATTCAAATGACAATATGCTTTTCCTAAACTCTCTTTGGAGTACACAATATAGCTAACAGTTAGACACCCAGTATGCTTACAAAATGTTTCCATAGACACAACTTTCTGAGAAGAGGAATTGCTTACGTTCAACATCTGTTCAATATACTTACCTTTTGTAAAGTATTTTCTTCATCAGTCTCCATTCTTGATCAACAACGTCCTTTGTTATTCCAGCCTTGGTTAGAGTGTTGCTGAATTGCCGGAATATGACACAGATATCACTGTCACCAAACTCTGAAATTGATCATTTTCATTTTAAATTTGATGTGTTTCATAAGATAGATCATTACTTTTTAAGTTTGATTTGATCATTTGCGGCGGGGGATTATGTCACCTTAGTGACAATGCTTGTTGTGAGTATATTCCATTATCAAATTTATCTTGCCTTGCGAATCTTCAACGGATGGCCATGACCGCAGACAAGCAATCTTTGTGGCAGCAAATATATCCGCTGATTCAGAGTGCTGCATGGCGAACCTCTCCTCTATGGCCTTCATAGTCTTGTCTACTAAAACAGACTTGTAGGTCATGGCTGGACAGCTACCTTTCAACTTCACATCCTGATACGTTCCTTGTTCCAAAACTTTGTGAAGATCCTTGCACTGGCTGAAATGCAAACATAATGAATCATGATACAGATGCCTTATGATTGAACTGTACAAAGAAAATTTTACTTAATATCCTTTAAGTTCTTTGTTTAATTGACAGAATAAAAAACAGCTTAATATGAAAATAATATATAGGTAGAAATAATGAAATTGGGCCACTAAAGTAATTCAGCAGGTTATATGTTATGAACAAATTATAAAAGTACCTTTCTTTGCAATCTTGAAGCATCTCCGTAGTAGCCTCAGTCCAAAGTAGGACATCAGAGAGAGTAGCATTGTTCCTCTGTAGTTGCAGTGAGAGTTTCTGGAGGGGCACAAGGAGATTCTGAAAAATGTAATGTTAATTAATGCACCCAATGATGCAACGATTTCTTGAAATATTAACTTTGTATGCAGTTTGATGTATTGTGGAAATGCAATGTTTCACAATTATTTGAATAAAAACATATATTTAAAACAAAATCATACCTGAAGGAAGAGCGTGAAAGCTACCAGATGTCTGTCCAGGACCATCTTCGCTAAGCCTTCAGCCTTAGCATTGCCGTGACTAGCTGTTGACAGGTGGGCCTCCAATGCAGGATATGACCGGAAAAATGCAGTCAAGCCACGTGAGAGGTGGGGCAGCCATCTGGTACCAGTCACTTTAGGAGGAAGAAGTCCATTAATACCTAAGGACTTCATGGTGTGGACAAGTCCTGTCTTCTGCTTTGGTTTCAGGTAGAAGTAATGAAGACCTATGAGTAAAGTCATGCACTTATCATAGAGTGCTGCCTTCCTGAACACATCCCTGAAGGCCAACTCGAGTCGGTGGCATAGGCAGTGAACAGAAACCATCTCTGGAAAGTCCTCTTTTAGACGTGTTGCCAGACCTGTTTTGGAACCAATCATGTTCGATGCACCATCACTTCCCATTCCAACTAGCTTATCTGAAATACACATTGTGTACAAATGATTGCTTGAAAACTATATAGGCATCACTTGGAGCAAGGTTATTGTTATATGTAACTACTAAATTGTCTATCAAATTTGAAACTGAAAAGGTACAAACAAAGTGAAGCTAAAAATATTCCAAAAAGTTCCATAACATTTGAAAATAAATTTTGGAAAGTTGTAATTTGACATCCCTCTCAATAGCTTAATTATATCTTTCAACATTGAGTCCATTTTCTGTTACTGGTTATATCCACAGTGGTCTCTTATTTTATTAAGTCGAATATAATTGTATGCATGTTAGGTGAAAATAATTATTATTTTCAGTGATATAAAAAAAAGATGTAATATGGTATTATGTGCTGTTGGGATACAGTTCATAAAGATGATAGCTTTTAATTACCTTTTGCAAAGCTGTGTAGGCCAGTAGACTCCAAGATGTTTGTGACATAAAAGTACAAATCCGATGAACATGTGCTTCTTGGACTTCCTATATTGAGAAAATTCTCTGTGACAACACCTTTGTGACATGATCTGACATACATGGACTCTTGTTCATCGCCACTTATGTCTGTGCTCCCATCCATTATGAAGGAAAAAAAAGGTGCATGTTCCAAGTTGTTAATGACTTCATCATGTTGTGTAGCAGCTATAGCCTGAATAAAATTCAAAGCTGCCCTATCATTAAGGTATGTGTCTCCAACTTCTAAAGATTTAACTTTGTCCAGTTCGCACAACCATTTAAAATCGGAAAGGGGTCTATTTTTCACTGCAACAGCATGTGCATTTCTAAATAGAAAAGTCATTTTTGTTTTGTCAGCACTTTTTAATTTCTGTAGAGCTCTCCCTGCCTTTGAAAACGCTATTTCATCACTGGAACTAGTCTCGGCTTTGAATAATTCAACTGAACGAATGTGAATTCTACTCAGTTCGTGATCGGTCACAGTCGATTTCTTGAAGTTTCTTGACCCAGAAATAAAATTCTGATCAGAACTAGGCCTAGCTGAATTCTTGCTTGCATTATAGTTAACACAAATGTTGCAAGTCATTTTACCATCGGCAAATGTTAGCCAACTTCTCCCGTTTTGCCATGACGGATTGAACGAACGGTCCGGTCGTTCATAACTCGACCGTTTCTCTGATGATTTAAGTTCATCAGTAGGTAGACGCTTCTTTGCAGGGGCCTTTGAAGGCCTAGCACCATCATAATATTTGAGAAAATTCAACATGTCCCTTCTATTTATGTAGTGACACGTCGTGAATCGCAGTTACGGAAAACCGCCATTCTTGTTGTGACAGTATCTAACCTAAACTTTCCGTATCGTGGAACCTGATTGGTTGTTGAAAAGAAGCTGTCGTGAAAACAGCCAATCGGATTGCACGATACATTAAACAGTACATAACCTTGCTAGCTGACCTTGATCGATCGATAAAAATAGCATCAAACGTGTTCCACTTAATATTCCATGAAAAACAACAAAAGCCGTCATGTTTTATTTTATTTATTGATGAAAACATATTAATGCAAGACATTTCATTGATGTAATATCCTGTCGGACACAAGGACCGACAGTTCTACAATATGCATCGGACCATTGTAACTTCCATCGGAAATGTCCGACGGACCGATGCTTTTCGTGAACACTGTGTACTACCAACAGATGACCATGTAGATGACCACCAATACCTATGAGGGTATGTACTACCTACAGATGACCATGTAGATGACCACCAATACCTATATGGGTATGTACTACCTACAGATGACCATGTAGATCACCACCAATACCTTTGTGGGTATGTACTACCTACATGTAGATCACCACCAATACCTATATGGGTATGTACTACCTACATATGACCATGTAGATCACCACCAATACCTATATGGGTATGTACTACCTACATGTAGATCACCACCAATACCTATATGGGTATGTACTATCTACAGATGACCATGTAGATCACCACCAATACCTATGTGGGTATGTACTACCTACAGATGACCATGTAGATGACCACCAATACCTATATGGGTATGTACTACCTACAGATGACCATGTAGATGACCACCAATACCTATATGGGTATGTACTACCTACAGATGACCATGTAGATGACCACCAATACCTATATAGGTATGTACTACAGTCCGTTTGAGTCAGAAACGGAGCGATGAATTGCAAATTTGATCATTGTACAACATTGCCACATAAATATAAATAGTACACATGTTTATCATTTACTAATACCCAACAGCTTTCTTATATTTGAAAATTTTCCGGACTCCACCAAAAAAGTTGTTTTAAAAACTATCATCATTGAAAATGCAAAAGTTTTTATCTGTCGCGGCGGGGTGAAACCACAGAAACGGAACAGCCACTATCTCGTCGTGCACGGGATACACATGCCTGATGAAAAATGAAGTTGAATGCTGACGTGAAACAGTTGATGATTACAGTGTACGATTTTTCCGTGCTGAAGCCGAAAGGGGCAAACCATTTCATGCCATTAATAAATTCCGTAAGCGGGCAGCAAAAGCTTTAGGAGTATCAGCAAGGGTACTGACAAATGTTCTGGAACACAAACATTGTGAGGGTGATGCTTGAAGCAGGTAGGGTCGTGTCAAAATCACACAAATTAAAACATTTGGACAACTTTCAAAAGAACCTTGTAAGGCAGTCTCTCAACAAGCTCTATTCTGAAAACAAATACATATCGCTGAAAATTTTTAAAAAGCAGTTGAAGCAAGAACACAACTGCAGAGTATCAAAGTACACACTCTGGCGACTCTTACACTCTTCGGGTATCGTTATAAGAAAATTTCGGGAGAGAATAGGTCAGTACTCTGTGAACGCCCTGATATCGTTCGCTTGAGAAATAATTTTCTCAGGGTTATAAAGAAGAAGTGCGAGGAAGGTTTCGAGCCAGTGTACTTGGACGAGACCTGGTCAATGCCTCGCACACTGCCAGCAGTCAGTGGGTACCCGATGGGGGTGATAAGGAGTCACGTAGAAAGCTGCCTCTAGGGAAAGGAGAGAGACTAATCATTCTCCATGCTGGTTGCTCCAGCAAAGGCTTTCTCCCAGGCTGCGACTTGGTATTCAGGGCACAGTCCACAGATAACAGAGACTACCATTCGAAGATGAATGGTGCGGTTTTCCTCGATTGGGTTAAAAACAAGTTGGTACCAGCTCTACCAGAGAAGTCTTTTATCGTAATGGACAATGCGCCATACCACAGCGTGCAGGACCCCGACAGTAAAGCCCCGACATCGAACAGTCGAAAAGGTGATTTGATATCATGGCTCGACTAATTTCAGATCGCACGGCCTTCAAAGGCAACGAAGCCTCAGCTATATGAGATCATAAAAACCCACAAAGGTGAACCTTTCTACAAAGTTGACAGTGACATAAAATTTAAGGGTCACGATATTCTGCAACTTCCACCCTATCACTGTGACCTTAACCCCATTGAAATGATATAGGGGAATTGTCAAAGGAGATGTTGCCAGATCAAACGCAACTTTTAGATTACCTGACGTAGAGGTTTTGGTATAAGGAATCCCTTAACAAAATCACGACTGAAACTTGGCAAAACTGTGTCAACGAGGTAGCTAACGTCATTGAACAAGGTTACTGGTCTCGGGATGGCTTACAACAGGCAACTGTGGCACCACTTGTCATCCCTTTAAGTCGTGATTATGACACTACGACAGACGAGGAACCGACAGGTCTCCCGGAATAGATTTTGAGATGTCCCCCGCCATGACTGGCTGTTCCGTTTCTGCGGTTTCACCCCGCCGCGACAGCTAACAACTTTTGCGTTTTCAATGATGATAGTTTCCTAAAGAACTTTTTTGGTGGAGTCCGGAAAATTTTCAAATATAAGAAAGCTGTTGGGTATTAGTAAATGATAAACATGTGTACTATTTATATTTATGTGGCAATTTTGTACAGTGATCAAATTTGCAATTCATCGGTCCGTTTCTGACTCAAACGGACTGTGCTAACAGTAGGGAAAATGATATGGTTCAGGGACTGTGAGACAGACCAACAGATGACCATGTAGCTGACGACCATTAGCCGGACTGGTGCAGCAGACTGAAGGTGTATGCCCTCCAATACAACTGTGAATTACAACATGATTGATTATTTTTGGGGTAAAACAAGTAGTATCAAGTTGTAGTTATGATCTAACTACAATCCCCCACATAATAAGACCAACATGTACCATAGTAAAAGAACATTGTTACTTGAAAAGGACTGAGCTGTGCATACACACTATACCCAACCTTAGTGGCCACAAAAAGGAACTACTAGACACATCTTGAGGCTGCCATGACTGATACCAATAACAATGATACAATAGTGGTGAACTTGGAAAGTAGTATGTTGCCACAAAGGCCCCGTGTGCTGGGCATATCCATAATGTCTGCAGGGGAAATAAGTCTAAACTGGAAATGGAGGAAGATTTAATGGACCTATGGTATACCCTTTCCGTATCTTATTCAAGACGAGCTCTGATGTGGTTACAGGATCTTTGTATGTAGAGCATAGATTTTTACATGTTTTGGCAAGGGGCAGTACTGGATTCCACTAGTGGTGGTCTGATTAATTGAAATAATCGAAGATTGGTTGCAGTGACTAAACAACCAAGCAATCGATCATGTTTTCTCATAATCGAACACAAACAATTTTGGAACACTTGTTTGCATGAACAAAATTTTGACATGGTTGGTTTTGTCTGTTACATTTCATAAGCACTACTAGCGCGTTCTAAGTCATGATTGAAATTATTTTGAGTCCAGGTAATTTATGTTCCTAACATATCAGTCATCCTGTAAAGGTGTAAAGTTTGCAGATGCATTGTGTGTAATTTGCCAAAAACAAACAGAAAGAACGACATGTTTTTTCTTTACGTTTTGTGCATTAAGAAACATAACCAGGAAAATTTGATAAATGACGCTAACCAATTATTTTCGATGATTGATTGTAATGAACCAATCATCAATTATGATATTTTAACCAGTTCCCAACACTAGATTGCATTGTGGAAACCTGACTTGAGGTTGTTAGCTGAATATTGAATATTGTGAAGTAGTCACTGTATCTTGTAGAAGCTGTCACACATCTCACAGTTGTGACTTCGGTGGCTTCTTGTAGTGTGTTCATAAATGCACGAACCGACCTAAAGGCTATGCGCACTTGTTTTCATTAAAGTTATTGTATAGTGCACAGCCATTGTAGAAATGGATAGGTCTACCTGTTGAGTCAACTTGGGACTTGTTCTCATTGAGGCTGCCTGTGGACCTCTTGTACATGTCGTGATGAAAGCCTTCTGTATTGTTACGGGCCTGTAACTGCTCACTCAAGGGCAAAAAATCTGCACTGTGTTCAGACAAGAAACACAGTTCACAGGTATTTACATAGTGCCCAGCAATGATGCTGAAGTATACACAAAGAAAAAAGTTAAGCACCCCCTGATAGTTTTGATGAATTTTCCCCCCATTATTTGAAATAGTGATACAAAGTATAATTATGGGAAGAGTCGAGTTTGCGCGAGAAGATATAACCAGTAATGCATGACAATCGTGCTCGTGTTACTTGTGGCATGCACGTGCAACATGCTACCCTTGAGGATCACACAAAGCAGTATGGCCCAACTGTATTTGTGGGTATCTAACATTGGCTGAAACGGCTATTCAAGCATATTCATTGAACATGGCACGGAGACGATTGTCAGTCGACACTAGGAATCAGATTATTGGTATGAATACCGCAGGAATGTCCTTTAAGGCGATTGGATGAAATCTGGGCTACCATTACATCGTTGTTAGACGTTTAGTCCAGAAACATGCGCGCAGACTGGAAGTGCAATGGACTGTCCAAGGTCTGGAAGACCTCCTGTCACTACACGCGTGAAGACAGACAACTGATACATAATAGTACACTGATTACTTCCTCCACTAATTTCGTCGACGAAAATGCATCTGATTCCGAAATTTTTCCAAAGAAACTCATTTGTTTTTGACATGCCATGTTGGATGCTAGACCCGATTCAATGACGTTTCGTCCTACTTCATTTTCGCACAATCTATAGATTTTTGTTGTTATTGTCTATTATTGTTCAAATGAATTGTAAATATTCTAATGGTATATGTTACTGCCTTGCATGCGATAATACCGGCACAATGTATGCGCAGTTCTCAGTAACAAAGT